AAGAACTCATCTGAAGAGGAAGAAGAAGTTCATAATGAGAAGAGCTTGTTCAACCTTTTGCTTGACTCCATTTCCAGAAAGAGATAGAGAAGCAGAGCCATTGCCAGGTAGAGTTCATAATGAGAAAAACTCATCTGAAGAGGAAGAAGAAGTTCATAATGAGAAGAACTTGTTCAACATTTGCATGACTCTATCACAGAAGGAGATAGATCAGCACCAACATTTCCAGAGAAAGTTCATAATGAGAAGAACTTGTTCAACCTTTGCTTGATTCTATCATAGAAAGAGATAGATCAACATCAAATTTTCCAGAAGAGTTCATAATGAGAAGAACTCATCTGAAGAAGGAGAAGAAGTTCATATAAGAAGAACTTGTTCAACCTTTGCTTGATTCTATCATAAAAAGAGATAGATCAGCATCAACTTTTCCAGAAGAGTTCATAATGAGAAGAACTCATATGAAGAAGGAGAAGAAGTTCATAATAAGAAGAACTTGTTCAACCTTTTCCTCGACTCTATCACAGAATGAGATAGATCAGCACCAACATTTCCAGAGAAAGTTCATAATGAGAAAAACTCATCTGAAGAGGAAGAAGAAGTTCATAATGAGAAGAACTTGTTCGATCTTAACTTGATTAATTACTTATGGAGTTGAATGAAAGAAAAACCTCTCTTGAGGATCAACATTTTCAGATAAAGTTCATAATGAGAAGAACTCATCTGAAGAGGAAGAAGAAGTTCATAATGAGAAGAACTTGTTAAACCTTTCCTTAATTCATCACATATGAAGTTGAATCAACGACACCTCTTTTGAGGATCAGTATTTCTAGAAAGAGTTTATAATGAGAAGAACTCGTCTGAAGAGAAAGAAGAAGTTCATAATGAAAGAACTTGTTCAACATTACCTTAATTCATCACATATGAAATTGAATCAGCGACACCTCTTTTGAGGATCAACATTTCCAGAAGGAGTTCACAATAAGAAGAACTCATCTGAAGAGGAAGAAGAAATTCATAATCTGAAGAACTTATTCAGCCTTTTACTTGACTCATCACAAACGAAAATAGATCAACATAAACATTGTTCAACCTTTTGTCAAATCAATCACAGAAGGAGATAGATCATCATTCATAGTGGAAAAGTTCATAATAAGAAGAACTTGTCCGAAATGAGCGAAAAATTCATAATGAGAAGAACTTATAGCTCAGAAGTTTGAACAACTCAAGCTAAAAATGGTGCTTTATGTCTTTGCTCCATTTCTGTTCCAAAGCAACGAGAAAAGAGGGGCAGCTGTAATCATCATTTTTACCTTGATCCAGCTGGTTCCCTGCTCCAATTAGCACCTACCAGCACCTTCACATTCCAGCAGCTTCCACCGACGACAGCTGGTTTCTCCCTCTACAACAGCAGTGTTCCATTAGTTTTTATCACCTCAGCAGCTGTCACTCCACACCGATAGAAACTCGTGGTTGCCCTTTTGTCCACGATATTGCACCAACAGCAGCCACCCAGCTGGTTTCCTCTCCCGCCAGCAATACAAGGTTCTAGATCAAATCAACACAAAAAAATTAGATTTTTATGTAATAAGGGTTAATCTATAAAACCCAAGAGTATTGTAACCTTTTGGAAGGACCCCCATCCAAAATAGAATGAGAAAAAATTGTAACAGAGGATTTTTTTTTCCTCTAATTCTTCAAAGCAAGCAATACACCAAGCAGTGAGTTTTTCCTTGAAATTTTTTATTTATATTAGCAACATTCAAACCCAAAAAGAGAGAAGGAAGGGATATTTGTTTCCTTACATTTCGTTCGGTTTCTCGTTGAGGGAGGGGTTATCGACGTCAGGGCTCATTTCGTTCGGAATAGACGGCGTTTGGAGCATTCTTGGCCACCGATTCGTGGGGACCGTTTGGGTTATGTGGAAAAAAATGAGAAGGAAAGAGATGAGAAAAGTTTGTTTCTGGGAGATAAAAAAAATGAAAGAGAAAAGAAGGAATGATATTTTGGTTTCACGTTACTGGAAAGAAATAAAGGGGATAAAGGGTTTGTTTGTTTTATTTTTTTGGGTAAACTACGCGTAAGGTCCTTTGTTTCTGGGAGTTTCTTATTTTATTCATTTATTTTAAGGGTTAATCTCCAAATGATCCCTTCAATTTTAGCGCCTTTTCTCGTTTTAGTCACTTGTTTAGGGGTTAATTATCTTTAAGTCCTCAAAGTTTAGGAGTCTATTTACATCCTAATCACTAATCTAGGGTTGAATTGCATAGAGCCCCCTAAACTTTACTTTATCTTTATATTTTACTCACTTAAAATAGGGAAAACACGAAATAATCCCTCTAATTTAGCCGCATATTTACACTGTAGTCCCCTGATTTCTTTTTTTATTATTTCGAAATTAGCTGCTATATTTTTATTTTCTTTTATTTTGGTCACTATTTTTATTTATAATCTACTCACAATTATTTTTTTATTATTTTGATCTCTATGCTCTACTTTATTATATTTTAGTCATTTTAATTATATCTTTTATTCTTTTGAATTATTTTATTTAGGGCCTTATATTCTGATATATTTTATTTCAGTCTTTTAATTTCACTACTTTAATTTTCTATCTTTTTATTTTTTGCTTTACAGTTTTCAATATTTTAATTTCAGTACTTTAATTATTACATTTTATTCTATTTTATTTCATTTTTGTCATTAATTAATTCTGTTATTATTTTATTTATGAATATGATGTTATAGTTTTAATTTTTTATTTTGATCACTATTAATTTCAATTTTATTTTATTTTTACCCTTTATGTTTCAATATTTTAAATATAGTATTTAATTATTATTTTCATCTTAGTCATATATATATATATATATATATATATATATATATATATATATATATTGTTTAAATAATAATATTTATTTTCTAATATTAAGAAAAGGCAGTCTTAATGCAACTAGATGTCTTTTTCTGATATTTTTAAATAAATAAATGTCATATTTACAAATCCCTAAATATATATATATATATATATATATTTAATATTTTTCCTTAGAAATATCAGATTAAATTTAAAATAACCTGATTGTAAATTAAATTCATATTCGAATTCTTAAAATATATTATTAGAGACAATTTATAATCGACATGGACCAATTTTGGGCGTTGTAGGGGTGCTAATCCTTCCCCAAACGTAACCGACCACGAATCTCTTTTTATTATTAAAAAGAAGATTTTTTTTGTTAAACGTAGACCAGTTTATCTTTTAACTGATGTTTTCTTAAAAATTCTTTTAAAAGACAATTTTTAGGTATTCGACCTACCTTACTAAAAAGGGTCGATGGCGACTCCCAAAACATTTCATAAAAACCATTTATTTATTCACATTACTTTTCCCGCTAAGTAAAATTTCGTACCCGGACGAAAACCGGTTACGACAGCACCAATAAGAGATACCTGTAACCATCGAATAAGAAATTTCCTGAAGGATTAAACAGTTAAACAACTGTATTTTTCACATAATTATTGTCATGTTACTCGACACTGATAAACATACTTTGATGTGTAAGTTGTAACCATGCAAATGGATAGTTACAAGTTGCCACAATCAGCGAAAGAAAACTGTAGGAACAAAGCAGTTCTTGACAGTAACTAGCAATCAGAGCAAAGTGTCTTGTCTTTGGAATTTCAAATCCAAGGCTCTGAGCAACACGGTTAGTTATCATCATATGTACGTGTATGTAATTCATCCCTTCAGATTCAAGATGATAAGTTATCCGTTCATGGCTGCAGTGTTTACTTTACAGTTAGGATGATGATTGAAGTTAAGTAATCGACACCAAGGACTATGATTTGCACACACATGATAAAAAAAAAGTAGACAATTAAACGGGGTGGTTCCAAGTTGAAGGTGTTTGGGGTGGCTTTTGTCTTGATGCTCACAACATCTTCCTCCTCGGCTACCTCCAACTTCCCAAAGATGCTTGTGGGGTATGTTAATGAGCACTGTGGGAATGACACATTTTTCGATCCAACATTCATACATGGCAACAGGGAAAGCATCTCAGTGGACGGTGGCAATCTTCATTTGATAAAAAAAAAAGATGTCATTATCTTTCATGCCTGCATCAACTGCAACTCCATGATAAGAATCATAAACCTTGTGTACGACAACACTATCATGACATCACTGCATGGGGAGCGGATTTTTTCAATTTATCAAATCTGCAATATAGCTGTATTATCCATATCAATTGCAATATGAAAAGCTCTTGGGTTCATTATTGAGATGCAATGTTTTCATCTAATCTACAATGACTTAAATCAGAAAGAACGTAAAGAGCTTTGATGAACAAAACTATGCAAATGCATGATTATCATCTATTAGCAGTTCAGTCAAGCAAGGTTGCAGGTTCGGTGTGGATATCTTGAGTATGTCCAACCATATAGATTACTACCAGGACAATAGATGAGGGACTTTTCGAGGTGGATACCTGGAGTATGTCCAACCGTGATGTCTAGTAAATTATGAGTCCTCGTGTAGTCGTTGACGTACATTTCCACCTGACACAGACAGTATTCGAACAAAACTGTTCTCCTGTCGAACCAGTAATGATGGCACAAAATTTACCTTGTAAAATAATTGTACATGTAGTGTAGTAGAGTATAAGGCTAGTATACCAAGACAGAAGTGAACGAACGTGTACAAAGATTTGATGTCGGACCTCCTTGATTATCAGTGCCCATTACCATCATGTCATATTAGGGCAGACACGATTGACTCATCCACGAGTAATAACAAGACGTTTATACCGCTAATCTTGCACATATTCATGCAGCAGCAATGCACCTACTCCAACAAGATGTCGATGAATTGCTCTCCAATTTGTCCACTTGATTGGATTTTGACAAAGAACAGCCAACCAAAATCTTGTATCTTTCTACTTGTTTCTCTATACTCACATCTGCTTCAGATCCTTCTGGCTTCCACTTGATCAATGCCTTCGTATACAACTCCATATCACCCCATTTAACTCCCCCTTCCACTTACTCATCTTCCTCATATGAAAACCAAAACAATTTGACGTCAAGCTCCTCAAAGCAAGAATGAAAATGAAGGTAAGTCTCCACTCCGCTAGATTCTTAGAATAGAGTAAACATTCCAAATCCTGCTAAATTCACCCCTTGCTGTTGTCATTGCAGCTACTAGGATGGATGCAGCATAAGCTACGGCCAACTAATATTGAACCTTTCAAGGATTTCACAATCGGTATTCCAACTTTCTTGAAAAATCCACAAACCATGCACAAGTCACATGATATTCATCGCTAGATCGGATCGGTGCAGTTGAATACGATAATCAACTCAGCTGCTCCAACAAAAATAATGCATTAGCCATCAAAGTCCATTGCACTCAACTCATCAAAGTTACTTATAGTTTTAAACAGATAGATTATGAACCTAAAGTAGAGGTTAAAATATTGATTCCTTTGGCTATCAAGATCTTAATACAGCAGCAACCTTTAGAGATGGGGCCACTGATCTTCGTAGTCTCACGGCTATCCGATCTTCCGTCATAGCAAAATAGACAGCAGTAAGACTAAGTACACCAAAATAAGCATGGAACCAGTCATTCTCATTACAACCATGTAGACCACTAAGGGGAGGGAACCACTTGATAGGTTGGAAGTAGCCTTTAAGGCTTAAAAGGAACATTGAAATGTAATTATAAAGCACAACATGAAGTCCTTCCTTTTTCAACCGTGTCTTATGTCCTAATCTTTAAACTCTGATTTCAGGGAACTACCGTGCATGTCTGTCTGCTCAGTCATCCCTCAATGATCAAGACTCGCATCCAAAATCAATATGTGGCTATGACTATGGATTGAAAGCGGAAATTGAGAATTCCTTCACAGAATTTGAAACCAAGGGGGTAGAAGAGTACAATGGAGATGAAACATCCGCTGTCATCTCAGGGCTATTCCATGGCTTTCTCACCATTGGAACTCTAGGCTCCGAACCAATTATGAGTGAGCCTGTAACACCGACATTCGCCACCCCTCTGGAGAATATATCTGAAGAAAAAACCGAGGTGTCCGAAAATCATCTGAAGCTCATCAATGATGAACTGGAGAAATTCCTTGAAGCTGAAGAGCATGGTTCCAATGAATCATCAAGAAGGAATAGTCAGGTCAGCACGATTACACTTAGTGGTAAGCCAATTCAAGGAGCCAATTCTCAAGATCATGGGAAGGCAATCACGTGTCCACTCCAAGGATATCTGTTTGGGTCTTCCATTGAACTTGCGGAAACAAGGTTTGAGGTGAAGAAGGAAAAGGCATCACTTGCTGAACTGTTCCACAGGACGAAAATTGCGGAAGAGAGTCATACGGAAAAATGTGCAAAAGAGGAGATGAAGAACAAGCAAAACAATAAACCTGTCAAACATCTCATCAAGAAGGTTCTGAAAAAGATTCATGCTTCTTCATTGAGTTCTATCTCTCTCTGTTAAAGATAGCCATTTTCTAATCCCATTCCTTTCCTGTTAAAGAACAAGGAGTTAAGGACCTTGAAATGAAAATTTTAAATGTGATATCTCACTTTCTACACATCCAAATATTGTTTAGTCCAGAAAAATTGAACAATAACTAAAAAGAGCGACAGGAGCAGGAGGTACAAAATCGCAGCTAAGGCAATGCTAATGTTTATATCCTAGATGAAAGCAGACTTAGATGGTAAGCTTTTTGCCAGCCTTTTCAAACATTCTTAGATGAGTTTTAATTTACCGATTTGCAGGTCATAAAACTATTTCACAGAAAAGTCCACCCTGAAAGTTCCATTGCTGATAGAGAGTCCAAAAAGTTGCATGGGAAGAAGACGAATAATGCTTCTTACAGTGACAACAAGAGGTTGCCTCGGGGATTAAGTTCAATGGCAGGACCCCAAGATTATAAGACCATCTCAGAACTGCCTAAATATGACCTTGCTGGCTTACATGCTGCAACTGCAAATGGGGAGCATTGGATTAAAACAGATGCAGACTGTAAGTAAAATATAACCATCTTGTTCATTCAGAATAAAATCCATTATTTGAAATGCTGGATCCCCAAGCAAAATAAAAAAAAACCAACTGTGGTGTCAACATATATACAATAGCAATTAAGCCTGTATCTGGCTTTGCAATAGAGTAGTCGACTAAGTTGATTCATTTTTCTTTAAACGAAATATACCTGACCTTCATCTGCTGCTGCCATTGTAGACTTGGTGTTGGAGCTGTAGTGAAGAAACTGCAACAGATTCCTATCAACAGCTTTCATCAGCCTTATGGCTTTATAAATATCAACTGTTGTAATGTGTGTGATCGAGTGATGGTGAACTGAACAGAAAAGAAGTTGTTTAGGAGGGATCCATCTTATCCTCCAGTTTGTGAAAATAAAGTTTGTTGTGGTATTCCTACTTTGAAAACGCGTGTACCAATCGCTTTCCATTATATTTCCTTCCAATTCCCAATTCTTGAGAATTTTCCGGTGAAAGAGAAAAGCACTTGAACCAAATTCAATCTTATATCTTTCTGAAAAATTATTATACCCACAAAATTCCATAAGCTGGAAGTACCAACATTTGCAATTAGAGCAGAGATGTTAACAAATGGGATTATAAGAGGGAAAATCATTTTATACACTGACAGAAAAACTCCAAAAACATAATTGAGCGATATGATGATATTTAATTTTTTTTATAAATTAAAATTTTTCATTATTAATATATTGAATATTAACGAGCATCATTAACCATCGGCAAGGTTATATTTACATCGTTTCGGCAAAGTCCCATCACTTTTAATCTTGCATTCAATCAAAAAAATTCAACCCCACTAGAAAAACACAAGAAAGAGCATCCACCTGCTAAATACAAGAGCAATAAATGGAAATTTAATGCAAGAGCATCCACCTGCACCAACCATCTTAGTTAAAGGAATCGTTATTGTTCCTAGAAGTCACGGGATCGAGCACCAACGGTTGCCACAAAGTGATTGAGTCAAATGATTGAGAGTATTAGAGCATATACTACTTTGTAATCATCTTAGTTTAATCAAAAAATAAAATTCATCCCCCTAAAAAACTATGATTTTCGATTACTATTTTAACCGTGCTGATGATATGATTAGGAGATGTTAATTCATGACAATTCATACGGTTGAGTTTGGGCGAAGAAACGTTTCGCAGGATGATCGGAGGATGTAGAGTAGGGGTGTTCAAAAAAATTCGGAACCGTTAACCGGTATAACCATTACATTTAATAGGTATAACCATTACATTTAATAGGTTAATTAATGAACTGTTAATATTAAATGATTTCGATTAACCGAACCACTAAAAATGATTATGGTTACGGTTACGGTTACAAGTTTTGACAAACGGTTAAGAAATTAAATTTATAATTATATATTTCTAATTTATTATATTTTTACACAAATAACTTAATATAGTTTTCTACTATTTATAATTTATATATATATATATATATTTAATAAAATTTTTGTACAAATAATTTAATATATATATACATATATATATATATATATATATATATATATATATCATTTTTATTTTTATTTCTTTAAAAATATAGAAATATTCTCACACCAATATAATTATGTGTTTATTTTTAGGTACTAAGATATTTGGAGATGTACATAATTAAGTATGCGTTAAGTGGTACACTTTTTATTTTATTCACTTACATCGATGTAAGTATGTGTTAAGTTATATATTTTTTTGCAGTATGAATTATGAAAAATTTTGACAAATAATTGTAATAGGTTAACCTAGGGCTGTAAATGAGACGAGACAGATCGCGAGTTATTCGAGATCGACTCGATCAAGGCTCGATAAATACTCGGATCGAATAGACTCGAGCTCGAGCTCGAGCTCGAGCTCGACTCGAGTTCTTAACGAGCTGAAACGAGCTACTCGGTATTCGACTCGAAAAACTCGTGAGCAGCTCGAAAATATAATATATTAAGATTTTATTTAAAAAAATAAATTAATAATAATATTTATATTTATGTATTGATTTTTTTTAAAATACAGTAAGATTTCATGTATTTAAGGTTCATGTTCGAGTTTGAGGCTTCAATCGAGTTAAGTTTAAGAAATTTTTTTTCATTTCGAGCCTTTTCGAGCTGCTCACGAGTTTCAGTTCAGGATTTCGAGTTCGAGTCGAGCTTGAAAATTTTAAGCTCGCGAGTTTTCGAGTCGAGTCGAGCTCCATTTTAGAGTTTTCGAGTCAAGTCGAGCTCAGCAATACTCGAGTTCGACTCGGCTCGTTTACACCCCTAGGTTAACCTATGTTTAACCTGTAATCGAACCATTAATAATGGTTAACCGTTAGCGGTTAATTGTTTCTTAATGGTTAGGTTAAGGTTAGAAAATCTCATAATCGTTATAACGGTTAACTGACCGTTTAGGCTAAACGGTACGGTTAACCGTCCATAAACAGCTCTAATGTAGAGGTTGATTAAGCGAGTTGAGATAATGGAATAAACATTACCTTAATAATTTTAAGTGTTATTTTGAGATTTTAAAAAGTATGTTAATTCTAATAAATAAATATTGTCTTAATATTTTAAAAAAATTCATGATGCGAGATTTTAAAAAGGATATTGATTTATTTCAAAAATTAATAATGGTCACCCCTGAGCAAAAACTATTAAACCTAATTATATTATGTGGTTTAATTAAGGTTTCCCTCTAACTAAACTATCAAACTATGAATTTTAAAGAATTTAAAAGGGCTAAACCTAAAATGTAGACTCTAATATTAAAACTTAACAAATTTTATAAATTTTATTGAATCGAATAATCAATTTGGAACCTCAAGCAAAAGCGAGGACTGAATTAAAAATTCTCTTAAATTAAGGGACTAAGGTGAAATTAAACCTAAAATGGAGGCTCTAATTTTAAAATTAACCATTCATTGAAATGAATAATTAATTTGGATCCAAGAGCAAAGGCGAGGACCAAATTCAAAATTCTCCAACATAAAGGGACTAAGGTGAAATTTAATCTAAAATGGATTCTCTAATATTAAAACCTAACCATTCTTAACTATTTATTGAAATGGATAATTAATTTGGAACCTCGAGCAAAAGCAAGGACCGAATTAAAATGTTCCCTAAATTAAGGAACTAAGGTGAAATTAAATCTAAAATGGAGGCTCTAATATTAAAACCTAATCCTTTTTTAACTATTTATTGAAACGAATAATTAATTTGGAATCTCGAGCAAATGCGAAGACCAAATTAAAAATTCACCTAAATTTAACTAAGTTTAGGGAATAAATTAAACGAAACCTAAATCTAAAGGTTCAAATTAAAGTTAAGTAATTAATTCTAGAACTAAATTACAAAGCATGCAAAATTACAAGCAAAATAATAATAATAACCATAATGAAAGCCAATTAAAATATGTAAGGGAGTAAGTCTACATGTACAAACAAATATATCTAAAATAAAAAGTGCATATTGAAATATTCTATGGACAATTAAAATGTGCTACTATATGAAATTTAGGGTTGTAAGTGAGACGAGACAGATCGCGAGTTACTCGAGATCGACTCGATTAAGGCTCGATAAATACTCGAATCGAATTGATTTGACTCGAGTTCGACCTCGACTCGAGTTCTTAACGAGCCGAAACGAGCTACTCTATAGTCGACTCGAAAAGCTCGTGAGCAGCTCGAAAATATAATATATTAAGATTTTATTTTTTAGAAAATAAATTATTAATAATATTAATATTTATGTATTGTTTTTTAAATACAGTAAGATTTTTATGTATTTAAGGTTCATGTTTGAGTTTGAAGCTTCAATCGAGTTAATTTTAAGATTTTTTTTTCATTTTGAGCCTTTTTGAGCTGTCCACGAGCTTCAGTTCAGGATTTCGAGTTCGAGTCGATCTTGAAAATTTTAAGCTCGCGAGTTTTCGAGTCGAGCTCTATTTCAGAATTTTCGAGTCGAGTCGAGCTCAGCAAAACTCGAGCTCAACTCGGCTCGTTTACACCCCTAATGCTATTAACATGCTTGTATTTAATGTGAAAAGGTTATGTAGTATATATATATATATATATAAGTATAACACACTACGAGTAAATAAAAAAATAGCATTCAATATAATAAACATAAGGTACATATAAAAAATGTAATGTAATGTATATATTGAAATACAAAAAAGGTTTTGTATATGCATATTAAGCAATATGGACCAAACAAGCATATTATACAAACACGCAAAAATTAGTACCATATACGCATATAAAAAGACCCAAGCTCTATTCTATTCCAATATGTTTGACCAATGGGTTGGTTCAAGTGGTAAGCAGTTTAATATCGTTTAATTAAAGTCTCAGGTTCGAGTCCTTGTGTATACTGAAAATCTTCGTTAGGAGACTCATCTACCAAAGTCAAATGTGCGATTCGGGTCGGTCCAGATTAATCAGGACAAAGACTTA